ATGGCGGTGCGCGCCGAGCAGCTGCTGGGACCACAGAGAGCTCTGGGAGTTGGGTTTAGGGTTTAGGGTTTAGGGTTTAGGGTTTAGGGTTTAGGGTTTAGGGTTTAGGGTTTGGGGTTTAGGGTTTAGGGTTTAGGGTTTAGGGTTTAGGGTTTAGGGTTTAGGGTTTAGGGTTTAGGGTTTAGGGTTTAGGGTTTAGGGTTTAGGGTTTAGGTTTAGGGTTTAGGGTTTAGGGTTTAGGGTTTAGGGTTTAGGGTTTAGGGTTTGGGGTTTGGGGTTTAGGGCGATCCTTCTGAAAACCCTCCAGAATCCCCAAAAACTCCGAGCCAAAAGTCCCAAAAGTCCTCAAGCCCACCCTAAGCCCTAAACCCTAAACCCTCAACCCGAAACGCTAAACCCTAAACCCTAAACCCCAAGCCCCAAACCCTAAACCCTAGACCCCCCAAAATCAAGGATCACCCTCCATCGCGCCGGCCTGGCAGCGGCCGCCGCCCACCGGCGGATGCTGGACTGCCTCCTGGCGCCTGGGGCATGGCCTGCTTCGGGTGTCGGGTTTTTGGGGGGGGTTTAGGGTTTAGGTTTAGGGTTTAGGGTTTAGGGTTTAGGGTTGTGGGGGGTTTAGGGTTTAGGGTTTAGAGTTTAGGGTTTAGGGTTTAGAGTTCAGGGTTTGGGGAAGTGGGCGTTCGGAAGGGTTTGTTGGGGGGTTTGGAGGGTCTTTTGGGGGTTGAGGTGTTTGGGGGGGTTTTTGGTGGTGGCGGGCTAGGGTTCGATCTTGGGATGTTTGAGAACCTCTGGGGGGGGTTACTGTGAGCACCATGAGCCCCAAAGAAGCCGTAAGACTGAAGACCCTAAACCCCAAACCCTAAACCAAACCCCAGACCCCAGACCCCAACCCCAAACCCCAACCCCAACCCCCAAACCCCAAACCCCAAACCCCAAACCCCAAACCCCAAACCCCAAACCCCAAACCCCAAACCCCAAACCCCAAACCCCAAACCCCAAACCCCAACCCCAAGCCCAAAACCCAAAACCCAAAACCCAAAAAACCCTAAACCCTAAAGGCCTTCAGCTTACTCGCCACTCCGCCCTGTAACCCCTCCCGCCCTTAACACCTGAACCCCTCCAAGCCCAGAAGCTCGACCGGTATCTCTGCGAATGACCCCAACCCGCAAAAAAAATCTACAGCCCTAAACCCTTAAATCCTAGACCTTAAGCCCCAAAGCCCCAAAAACCCCTAAAAAGCCCAACGCCCGAAAACTTAAAAACCCCCTGAACCCCGAAACCCCAAAAGAGCCAAAAGAACCCTAAACCCTAAACCCTCAATTTCCTGAACCCTGAACCCTGAACCCTGCACCCTAAACCCTAAACCCTAAACCCTCTGAACCCCCTAAGGTCTTCCCGTTCCACTCGGGCCTCACCGGTGCCGACCAGCTGCCCAGCATGGTCCGGTTCCTCCAGGAGCCCCCCTCCCCCCCCCCCGCCTCTTTTTATTCCATGGAGGGGGTAGGGTTTAGGGTTTAGGGTTTAGGGTTTAGGGTTTAGGGTTTAGGGTTTAGGGTTTAGGGTTTAGGGTTTAGGGTTTAGGGTTTAGGGTTTAGGGTTTAGGGTTTAGGGTTTAGGGTTTAGGGTTTAGGGTTTAGGGTTATACCCTCAATCGAGGGCTTCAGATTTAGGAGTGCAGGGGGGCGTAGGCTGGAATTAGACAGGGAAGCCCTCTAAAACCCGCTCAGCCTCAGACCAGCCCACCCCCTAAACCCTAAACCCCAAACCCTAAACCCTTAACCCTTAACCCTTAACAGCCCTCATGCCCCAGCGCGCGAAAACTCGAAGCCGAAGGAGACGACGAACTGCGGCACATTTGATGCGTGGAGCCGCTCGTCTTGAGTTGCATCACGGAGCCTTGGGGGGCTGAGGGCTTAGGGTTTCAGGGTTTTAGGGTTTTTGGGTTTGAGGGTTTTAGGGTTCTAGGGTTTAGGGATTGAGAGATTATGGCGGTTCAGGGCTTTTTGGGCTTGGGTTTTAGGTTCAAAACGCAGAAACACATGGCCTGCAGTTCTGTGACCGTAGGGTATGGGGTCTGGTACAGCTTGTTGGGTTCTTCAGTTTTTTTTTTAGGGCTTGGTGGGTTTCAACTGTAAGGTTGGTTGGCATGGTCTTGGCCTCAAAGGGGTTTGAACCCCAAACCCTAAACCCCTCAACCCCTCAACCCCTCAACCCCTCAACCCCTCAACCCCTCAACCCCTCAACCCCTCAACCCCTCAACCCTAAACCCCTAAACCCTAAACCCTAAACCCTAAACCCTAAACCCCAAACCCTAAACGGTTCAGGATGCAGGCGGTTGAGCACGCTGTCGGACTGCTGTCTCTCAACAGCCGTGTACCTCAATCATTAGACGCCCCCGCATCCAAAACCCGAGACCCTAATCATACACTACTTAAGATGCAGCGCCGCAATGTTTTTGATGTAATATGCTGTGTAACATATAGTGTGTGTATATATTTATATATATATATCTATTCGTATCTGTGTAGTAATATACTTATGTTCACGTCTAGCATAATTGTGTATCATATTCTTTGATTATTATAAGATAATGGAACAGAACATCATGTATAATACTATGTAATACAAAGACCCTAAACCCTAAACCCGAAACCCGAAACCCTAAACCCTAAACCCCCTTCAGACTCATGATGGCCTTGGTTGCTGACAGGTCCGTTCTTGGCCTCCTTGGCTGAGGGTGTCGGGCAGTGGACGGAGGCCAGGCTCGGACTGAAAGATCCTGCTTAAGGCTTGTGGAGGTTTAGGGTTTAGGGTTTGGGGTTTAGGGTTTGGGGTTTAGGGTTTAGGGTTTAGGGATTTGGGTTTAGGGTTTAGGGTTTCCACTCCTTGAGGACGTTTTGCGGCGGCGTGCAGACATCTGGGGCTTGCTGGCTTCGCTGGCGGTGCCCTCGCGAAGCTTCCTGCGCCTTAGTACGTACACCTTAGTTAGTTAGATGGCTTCCTTGAGGGCTGTTTCGCCATCTGCCTGAAGAAGGCTACGAGATGACCCGCAGTAGTTTAACCAAAACACGCTGCAACCCAAACGGCAGTTGTTCAACAAATATGCCTGTCCACAGAGAGACCATAAGGCAGGCTCCCTCTCTTTTCATCCTTAAAAGGGCCCTTTTGCACTTAGGGTTTTAAGGGCCTTAGGGTTTAGGGTTGAGGGCTTAGGGTTTAGGGTTTAGGGCTTAGGGCTTAGGGCTTAGGGTTTAGGGCTTTGGGCTTAGGGTTTAGGGTTTAGGCTTCAGGTTTGAGGTTTTAGGGTTTAGGGTTTGCAGCTGCCCCCCCAAGACCCATCTCTCAGGCGTGATTGCGCGCTGCTGGCCCGCCAGGCAGCTCCCGACGAGGTGCGACATGGACGAGGGGTGGCCCAATGGTGGCCCTCAGTCCTCCAAACCCAGCACTCAGACCATAAAGGGTTCAGGGTCTATTTAGGGTTTAGGGTTTAGGGTTTAGCGTTTAGGGTTTAGGGTTTAGGGTTTAGGGTTTAGGCTTATCCTATAAATTTAAATATTTGTGGCCTAAAGCTAAGCCCTAAAGCCTGGACGCTAGAGCCTCAGCTCACCCCAAACTCATGGGTTCCCCTGCTACGCCCCTCTATACTCCCCCCCCACCCACCCTAGCTTCCCCCAGCAATTAAGTTAGGGTTTAGGGTTTAGGGTTTAGGGTTTCGAGTTTAGGGTTTAGAGTTTAGGGTTTAGGGTTTACGGTTTAGGGTTTAGGGCTTAGGGATAATCAAGCCCAATTAAGGGTATTTAAGGAGGGGAACCTCGGGGTGGGAAGTAGGCAAACCCAGGATAAACCCTAAACCCTAAACCTTAAACCCTAAACCCAAAACCCTAAACCCTGAACCCCTACTCTTTGCCTGGGAGGCGGCTGCTGACTTGGTCATTCACCGGTGTCTGGGAGAGGCACAGCACCCTAAACCCTAAACCCTAAACCCTAAACCCTAAACCCTAAACCCTAAACCCTAAACCCTAAACCCTAAACCCTAAACCCTAAACCCTAAACCCATAAACCCATAAACCCTAAACCCTAAACCCTAAACCCTAAACCCATAAACCCTAAACCCTAAACCCTAAACCCTAAACCCTAAACCCTAAACCCTAAACCCTAAACCCTAAACCCTAAACCCTAAACCCTAAACCCTAAACCCTAAACCCTAAACCCTAAACCCTAAACCCTAAACCCTAAACCTAAACCCTAAACCCCAAACCCTAAACCTTAAACCCCAAACCCTAAAACATTCCAGATTTGAGGGGTTAGGGTTTACCAATTTGGGGCTTGTAAAAGGTTTCGTAGGCCCTTCGTTCCTTCTTTTTGGGGTTAGGGTTCCCTTATATTCCCCTTAAACCCAAAAGGGGTACCCTGTTTTTCCTAGGCGACAACCTAAACCCTAAATCCGCGGAGTCAGCGTTTCTATTTGCAGGGGACTCAAGTGTCGGGCTCAGGAAGTAGGGTTTAGGGTTTAGGGGTTAGGGGTCTAGGGTAAAGTTTAGGGTTTAGGGTTCAGGGTTTAGGGCTTAGGGTTTAGGGTTTAGGGTTTAGGGTTTAGGGTTTAGGGTTTCTGTCCTCAAGTCTTGCAATGGGGGCGTATGGCCAGGGTTTAGACTTGAGTTGGTAGGCTTGGGATTCAGACTTATGACCCTAAGCCCTGAACCCGTAAACCCCTAATTAAACCCCCAAACCACTAACCCTTAACTCCTTAACCCTAAACGCCTAAACCCCTAAACCCTTAAGGTTCTAGACCCCTAAACCCTAAACTCTAAACCTAAACCCTAGACCCGCAACCCTAAGCCCCCAAAAGCACTCAGCTCCAAACCCTCAACCCCCAAACAACAAACCCTAAACCCCTAAATCCCTAACCCTAAACCCTAAACCCTAAACCCTAAACCCTAAACCCTAAACCCTAAACCCTAAACCCTCTGGCATTCTTGGCGCCCCTGAAGGGCCTAGCCCCTGCACTCGACGACGTCGCCCTTGGATCTCTGATCTGCCTGGCTGCTGCTGCAGGTGAGGGTAGGGTTTAGGGTTTAGGGTTTTGGGTTTTGGGTTCAGGGTTCAGGGTTCAGGGTCCAGGGTGTAGGGTGTAGGATGTAGGTTTAGGGTTTAGTGTTTAGGTTTTAGGCTGTAGGGCTTAGGGTTTTAGGGCTCAGGCGCTCAGGGCTCTTCGGGTTTTTCAGGTTTCGGGTGTGGGGTTCAAACCACACTTCCAGAACGTGCTTCGTTTGTGACGGGCCCCTTCAAATTCTGTATTGTAGGTCTCGGGAACCCAAGGTGGGTTAGCAACCCTAAACTCTAAACCCGAAGCCCTAAACCCTTGAGAAGGCGGCGTAAACCCTATACACTAACCCTAAACCCTAAACCCTAAACCCTAAAACCTGAACCCTAAAACCTGAACCCTAAACCCTAAACCCTAACCCTAAACCCTATCAACCCTATAGGAGGTGCCCTGGGGTTTGCGGCGTGACAGCCCTCATTGCAGGTCTTCATCCAGGTGGCGATGCCCCTCGCTGTGCAAGATCTCAGGGATTCTGGGTTAGGGTTTTTAGGGTTTAGGGTTTAGGGTTTAGGGTTTAGGGTTTAGGGTTTAGGGTTTAGGGTTTAGGGTTTAGGTTTGAGGATCTCAGGCTTGAGGGTTTCAGGGTTTTGGGATTTCGCCAGGAGCATCTCAGGAGCATAGTATAGGGGTCGGAGAAATTACGGGTTCCTGTATAATCCTACTACAATAACCCCAAAACCCTGTTTTAATTTTTCAGGCCCCTATATTAGTAGCCCTGAACCCTAAACCCTAAACCCTAAAACCCTAAAACCCTAAAACCCTAAAACCCTAAAACCCTAAAACCCTAAACCCTAAACCCTAAACCCTGAACCCTAAACCCTATACCCCCTAAGGTTTGCCTCTGTTTCCCGGACGTTCCCAGCTCGCGCGCGCCTCGAGAAGGGAAGCCGAGCTCAACTCTCAACGTGTCCATGCTTTCCCTGTTAGGGCTAGTGCAGGTTCTACACCCCAAGCCCTAAACCCTAAACCCCAAACCCTAAACCCTACACCCTAAACCCCAAACCCCAAACCCTAAACGGCAAGTTCTTGGGTCTGTTTTGGCAGCCTTCAGGCTTGAGGGTTGAGGGCTTTCCGAGCCTGGCGCCATGCTTGGTATGTTGGCACTGCTCATGGCCCTGGAGGCAGGGTTTAGGGTTTAGGGTTTAGGGCTTAGGGTTTAGGGTTTAGGGTTTAGGGTTTAGGGTTTAGGGTCTAGGGTCTAGGGTCTAGGGTCTAGGGTCTAGGGTTTAGGTAGGGTTTGTAGGGTCTAACGAGGCTTGTAAGGCTTAACGACACTCATGGAGTGTCTGTAGGGCTTGTAGGGTCTATAGGGTTTCTAGGGTTTATCGTCTACAAGGTCTGTATAAAGCTTCGAGGGTCTAGAGTCTCTAGGGTCCATTAGGGGTTTTGGGTGTATAGGGCTTCTGGGATTGGTTTTCAGAACCCCGAAGCCCTGTAGCTTAGGTTTGGGGTTTAGGGCTCAGGGCCCAGGGCGAATTCCTAAACCCTACGCCCTAAACCCCTAAACCCTAAACCCTTCGCCCGAAACCCTTGAGGGTTTTTGGCACGAGCGCCCCCCGAATTTAGGCCTCCCTGTAGCTCAGGCTGTCACTCTTTTGGGGTTTGTAGGGTTCTTCGGGTTTTTATGTATCGTTTTTGTTAGGGTCTTTTGTGGTTTTGGGTTTTGTAAGGGTTTTTAGGGCTTTTGGGGTTTTTAGGGTTTTTAGGGCTTCCGGGGCTTTTATGGTTGTTTGGGCTTCGGGTCTCAACTCCAATCCGAAGCTGCCTCGGCCCAGTGCAGGCAGCGGCTCATCCGTCGTCGATGAACTGTGACTTCGAGTGCATCTCGGTTGGCAAGTTTCCGTTGGTTTCGGGTTTGGGGTTGGGGGTTGGTGGTTTAGGGTTTAGGGTTTAGGGCTTAAGGCTTAGGGTCTAGGGCTTCGGGCTTAGGGTTTAGGGTTTAGGGCTTGGGGTTTAGGTATCGGTGCTTAGGGTTCACGGCTCAGGGCTCAGGGCTTGGGGCTTAGGATCCCAGTCAAAAAAGCCACACTTCTCCTGGCGGTGTTGAGAAACCCTTAAGACCTAAAACGGGTCCCAAGCCCCCTAGAACGTCTAAACACCCGGCACACCCAAGACCCCTCAAAGATTCTAAAGCCCTGCAATCCCCTTTAAATGCCCTCACAACAGATCCCGAGCCGACAACAGCCCACAACCGAAAACCCTCTTCAACTCTTGAAACCCTAAAACCCTAAAACCCTTAAACTCTTAAGCCCGTGCACCCTTGCCTTAAACCCTTCAACCCTTAAACTCTGAAACTCTGAAACCTTTTGAACCCTCAAACTCGTCTTCAACCCTAGAAGCCTGGAATCCTTAAACCCTCAACCCTAAGCCGCCTAAACCCTAAACCCTAAACCTAAACCCCAAACCCTAAACCCTAAACCCTAAACCCTAAACCCCAAACCCTAAACCCTAAACCCTAAACCCTCAAACTCAGAAGCCCAAGCACTCCCCACCCAGAATCGCCGCAGAGGCATGGGGGCCTATACTCCTGGCAGCGCGTCCCGCGCCTGGAGTGCTTGTTTTGGGGTTACAGGGGGCTCATAAGGGTTTAGGGTTTAGGGTTTAGGGTTTAGGGTTTAAGGGTTAAGGGTACCTAGGGGGCTTAGGTTGAATGGGTTTGCAGGTCTTAAAGGGCTTTAGGGTGCTGACGGCGTTTACGGGTTTAGTATGTGTGTACAGGGTTTCGAGAGCTTACCCTAAGCCCCAAACCCTGAACCCTGAACCCTGAACCCTAAACCCTAAACCCTAAACCCTAAACCCTGAACCCTAAACCCTAAACCCTAAACCCTTAGTTTAGGGGGTCGCGGGTTGAGGTTTAGGCTGCTTTCGAGAGGGTCTTAGTTGGGAGCC